TGTTGTCTTTTATATTGCAGAGTTGAGGCTTTTTCTTTTCCAATTCAGCTTCTTTAGAGAACAGAGGCAATATAGGACTGAAATATCACAAAAGCACTGCAATGAAATTGTAGCTTTATCCTAATCGTTTTAGTCCAATGCAGGAAGTGCTGTTGGTGGCGGCGACGAAGTTTCACTGTTCATACAGCGACAGATGGTACTAAAGAGACAGTGGAAGCCATGCTGATAGAGGAGCAGAGGGAAATGTCTGAGAGTACTTTAAAAGCATCACAGATCACTGACATACTATATTTCCTGAGACTTTAAAACTGCAAAGGGTGGAAAGTCTGAACTGACATACATTTTAAAATCAGTGTGCCGGTATAGTCGGTAAATAATAAAAAAAAAAAGATAAATATGTGAGGATCGTAAAAGCTAATAGTTGGCCAAGCACGGAATATTTGTCCACAATAAAATTTATGCAGTCCTGTCTCGCGAAAAATATGTTCCTATTCAACTAAAGTGCATTTTCAATTATGTTTTTTTTTGAGGGAGCATCTCTGTTTTTTGTAGGTGATGTAGACGGATTGGTGCAGCGTCAGCAGTAACGTGGGCATTGTACAGAACCACTGTGGTGAAGGAGGAGGAAAAACTCTTGATTTACCAGTTGATCTATGTCCCAACCCTCACCAATGGTCGTGAGCTCTGGGTAGTGACTGACAGAATAAGATTGTGGGTACAAGCAGCCAAAAATGGGTTTGCCTTAGAGATAAGGCGAGGAGTTTGGACATCCAGGGGGAGCTTGGAGCTTCTGTTAATAGGAGCTAGCTGAGGCAACTTCCTGTGGAGGTTTTCTGGGCACATCCAACTGGCAGGAGGCCCCAGGGTAGACCCGGAGCCTGCCGAAGGGATTACATATCTCATCTGGCCTGGGATGCTTCAGGATCCCCTGGACATCTGGACCGCCCTGCTTTGTCTGCTGCTACCAGGACCCAACCTCAGATAATTGGAAGAAAATAGACAGATGGGAAAGATGTTTTCTGCTGGTTTATGTTTGTTTGCGACATATCACAAATAAATCAACCTACCTTTGCCATTTATTTTATTGCTTTACCATCGCTCATTTGGGTCTATCCAGTCATATATTAGCTGGGATGGGATTCGTCACTGTGGTGAAAGCAGAAGAGAAACTTCAAACATGTTGTGAAAGGGTTATGTTTTTAGTAGTTTTAGTGTCTAAACCCAGCCAAGACTAACAAGCAAAGTTTCCCCTAAACCCAACCAAAAAGCAAATGAAAACCATCTTTTATGTGCAGTTTATTGTGCAAACTGGAAGTACACAACAAATGAAAATGAAACTGAAGTCTAGGAATAAAGCTTCCACACAGGATGTGAACCCCGGTGTCCTGTTGCTCACCTCTGTAGCTCTTTCAAACTGGAAGCCTTTCCTGCAATGTCACAGTTCTACCTTTTGATGAGAAAATATGTTGGTTTCCAAATGAAATTATTCTTCTTTCAAAAGAGATTGCTTTTTTTTTTTGTACAGGAACGTAATTTCAGAGAGACAGGGTTGGTCTATGTTAATTTTTTTCCCATCTTCTTTGCTATGTGACTCATTTTCACCAGTGTACATGCATTTTTTTTTTTTAAGGTCGTGAATTCCTATGTATCCTTCCCGTATCGCGGTGTAGCTGAGAGACATTAACGGTGCTACCAACTTTCTCGAGTTGATGGTAGCCAGTAATTGGTACTGATACCACCCTGATAATGGGAATAACTGGCTGGATTTGAACCACACGTCACCTTCTGCTAAGTGAAAATAGTTTTATCACTGCTGATTTTCTCTTGGAATTGAGTGCAACACCCTGAATGTAGCCCACATTCCCTTCCTAGACTGCCTGTGACTTCACAGTATGCTGTTACACTGTGAGAAGACTCCTGTCATCTCCCATGTGTGTCAAATCAGCGGTTAATAACAAAACAGACCAGTCGTCCATGTGTGACAGCAGTGCTGACCCTCCGGGGTCTTCTTCCACATGCTCTTATCTAACAGACTGAAAGAATTATCATAACAATTTGCATTATCCTGAGCAGAGATAATCATGACAAAGACGACTGGTGGGGGGAAATAATGTAGTCTTTCTTTTTTTAAGAGAGTATGTGTCACGATAGTGCTGGCTGCTTTATTTATGCCTGGCTGATACACTGAAGAAACAATCACAAAAGAATACTTTGGTCCCAAAAAATGAAAAACATGTTAATAGATTTTCCTGAGGCATTAGCGACTTCAAAGAGATACGACAACTAACGCAGAGATTGAAATGGAAACACGCAAAAAGGAAAAATTCACGTTCAAGGGCACTGCTGTTGAATGTGAATTTTTTCCTTTTTGCATAGTTCCTTTTCAATCTCCGTGTTAATCAAGGATCGGAGGCAAATGCTGCATTTAAAGAATGAAAAACTAACCAAAACAATTATTTTAAAATTCCTTTGTTACCGTAAATTTAAATAAGCTGCACCCACTAACTTTAGAAAAAAAAATGTACATAGAAATAAATAAATGAAAAATACAGTAGCCTACCAGGAAAAGTCATTAATCGCTCTCTGCATCTTCCTCCTGCGCACTAAAACCATTAAAGCCGTCTTCTTCAGTGTCGGAATTGAACACATTTCCTTGTCGCTCTCAATGTCACTTTCATCTCGAGGCCAATTCGTAAAAATCACAAAAATCCACAAATTAGCTGCATCATTGTTTAAGCCACAGTGTTCAAAGCGTGTGAAAAAAGTAGCGGCTTATAGTTCGAAAATTACGGTACGTGTACGCTTATATATTATAGCTTACCGTTACTGTGCTTGAGCAGAGTCGTGAGTGAGCTGGTGTGCTCGAGATGCCATAAGTGAGTCGAGAAAGAACTTCACTGACCTGAGTATTCTAAAGGAAGCAATGGTGTTGAGTTACATCTAAGCCATTGTACGGTAGGAAGGGATTATTTTCAGGGAAAATCTTCTAAAAATGCAACTTCTACACATATAGATGAATCTTTAGAGGGCATATTAATGACTGGAGGCTTGTTATTGTTGAATATTTCAATACAGATATTTTGGATTGAACTACACTGTTTATCATGCATAGATTTTTTAAAATCAAATTACCCAATCAGTGCCATTATAGGTACTTTAAAACAGACCCTCCTATGGACTCCTTTGACTGGAAATAAAACATCCCCAAGTACTTAAATTAAATTCAGGGCTCAAAAACCCAACAAATTTGCTCAATTTTTGTGTTTCGTCAGTTTATTTTAGAACCTGGTATTTTTATTTACACCTGCGCCTGATTTGCCCTCTCTGTCACCCCTCAAAACATGAATTGAATGCCACCCATTGCCAACAAACAGCTTCACTTCAGTGTTTAGCAGCAGCTCAGGGCTCAAGGACATTTCCGCTACACTTGTTGAAGTCATACTAAAATGAATAAAACAGTTTTTTTTTGGGGGGGGGGTCTGCTCAGCTCACTCTCTTGTTATTAAAACTCATTCAATTATTTATCCCCCCCTAAATGTTCCTTTACGTCCACATCTATTTCTCCTTTGAGGTAAATGGAAGATTTTAGCAATGGCTGCAGGAGGCGTGCGTGTAAAATTCCAGCTAATGTAGCACTACATTCATTTTGAATTATTCAAACCCTGCATTTTGTCCTTCTCTAAAACACTGTTTCACAGGTAATACATCAAACTAAAGAAGGCAAAATGCCCCAGATATGCACTCTCTTTAAAAGAGACGTCTGCACCAAACTATTGTAGGGTACTATCATCTTTACACTTTTAAAAGGTTGCCGAGGTGTTGGTGGAAAAGTTATCGAGGTGTTGTTTGGATCTCATGATTATAATCATCCTTTAATTATATTAGCGGGGATATAATCTCATTACGGAGAGAATACACTGTTAAATGGGTTATCCTTGGCTCAGAGGTACTTGGTCAGATAGTGGAGTCGTGCAGCTTGAGTCAGAGCCACAAACAAGTGTGGAGGGGAGAAAAAAAAAGGGCTTAGTCTGTTTTGTGGAAAAACACCTGCCATGAACTCCAATACCCATTATCCACAACCTTTAGAAAAGCCCTCCTACACACACGCTGTATAATAGAAGTCAACCCCTAACCCCCTTCGAGACTCCAAAAGTCAAAAAGCAAAAGGACAGCTGACTGACAGACAGAGGGGGATTAGTCACAACGAATCACATGCTTGCATGCACACACACACACACACACACGAACACACACACACACACACTTTGCCTCTCTCGCTGCCCATCACACAGTTTCTTATTCCGATGCAGAATTAAGATAACGTCTCCTTTGCGATCACCTGCGTCTACCGTCAAACCCGGACGGCGCCCCCTCTGACATCCACACACAGTTATTGCAGCTATAAAGGAAAAAAAAAAATAAAAAAGTGGTTGCCACCCCTCCCACACACACACACACACTGTCAAAACACACACATACATACAGTGTCTGTCTATCCAGCTAAATCCAACCCAGAGAGTCTGGCAGGAAGCAGACAGCGTGGAGAAGCCGTCTCCTCCAAGGCAACATTAGCTTGGGAGACTGAGCACAGAAGAAACACTCCAGAAAGAGAGAAAGACAAGGAGTGAAAGACAGAAGTAGATAAGTGAAAAGGGAAGAGGGACAATTAGGGGATAAGGATGAGGTAGAGATCCCTGCTTCTTTTGTAGAACAGCTAAAGCTCACAGAGGATTCACACAACAGAGCTATATAAAGAAAGAGACAGAGGGAGATAGATGATGAACCACAACGTCTGGGACGAATTATTTCCCCTGTGCGTCGGTCTCTCCCCTCCTCTCTCAGGCTCGTTCACTCCATTTGGCGAAATGTTGTCGTGACAACACAAGGGCCCCGCATCCGTCAAAAGATGGGTAATTCTACTGTAATTAGCATAAAACACACATACACGCGTTTGAAAGATGGCGGCCGCTGAATATTTATGGAGAAAAGTTCAACAACAGTTCCTGCATGGTTTCGTCTTTTATTTGCCTCTGATCAGACATTGTCACAAGTGTCGGTCTGGATGAACGCTCAACACAGTTACATTATTAACATCACAAAAAAATAAAGTCACACAAAACAGGTGCAAAGAAGAAACAGGTGCATTCGCGTACATGACAATGCGGCGGGAAAACAATGAGGAACGGACGACAAAATGGGACTGACTATTAGCAAAAATAGACTTTTCTAAGTGTAGGAGTGATAGGGGGTGGATCCAAGTGACTTGTGACAGTGGTGGCTTTTCTTGAGGTGGTCCTGGTTTGATCATTATTGTCCTTTCAGAGGGCCAAAGCTCAGGCCTGCTGGATCCTGTTGGTCCCTGCTGTGTCTTCAGGATGTCGGACAGTGTCACCACCCCCCCCAGTGCCATACTCACGCTAGAGAAAAGACAAAGGGTGAAAGAGGTGGGGAAAGAGAAAAGGGTCTCTCTCAGGGTGCTGTGTTCAGTGCCTCTAGTCTGGTTCGGTTCTGGTTTGGTTCTCCACAGGGTTCTGAAGGGTGCGTGTCTTGGTGCTGACTCATTCCTCTCTTCTGCCATTCGGGTTCAGTCTGGCTGTCAGTCGCTCGATAATCAGTAAATCCCCCCGCGATAAACTCTTCATTGCTCCTTCTTTCCTCGTCTCTCTTCTTTAACCCCCGGTCCTCAGCTTGTTCTGCAGACAACAGCGAAGAAGGAAATGCATCAGAGAGATGGAAAAAGGCAAACAAAAACATCAAAATAAGAAAAACAGAAGAGAAAGATATTTCACACATGAGAGACGAAACAAAGAGAGGGAAGGCCTGAGAGTACAATAAAAGAGAAGGGGATGAAGTGAGCCCTAGAAGTAGAGAGAAGACCCAGGGGCACTGGATTCCATGTTAGTGATAAGTGCAACCACAAATCCCCAGAACTACTTGTCAATAACCATTTGAACCAGCCTATTGCAGCAGATGCCACTGGATGAAAGCTGCCTAAGAGAAGACGAGCGAGAGAAAATAGAAGAAACAAGGGACATAAGAAGGGAATAATAGAGACAGAATGTAAGAAAGAAAGATATCTTCTTTCTCACTGACCAACTTAATACTGGTGTTGTGGATCAGATAAGTCAGTAACATTTCTCCAAAGGAATCAGAGTTTATTTTCTGCACTACTGAACTGACCATAAATTGACTATTGATAAAAACAGTTGCTCCCAGCATTGCCTTCTGCACTATAAAGACTAAAAAGCAGACTTTGAAGAGAACACCTAGAGGACGGTTCCAGTATATTACAACTTATTTCTGTAGTTCTGGCCAACCCTTCTTTTGGTTGTGATATCACTTTCTGCAGTACCTTGGTAACTGCTGAGATCTGGGAACACTAGAAAGAATTCCAATGGGGCAAAACATTCTAGTGGTGCAATAATCCAACACACATCTGTGAAGATATGGACTTCAGTAAAGGCTCCCTGTGGAGGTTTCTTCTTAGTGTTTCTTAACCATTTGGTTTGTGTGTATTCTTGAGGTCTAGCTTGCAGTCTCCTCTTTAATGTCTTTGCTGGGCAATCGCTAAGCTTCTTTGGATATTACCACCACTTGATCTCACCCATTGATTTGTGCACTACTGTTTTGAAGCTTCGATTTCAGCACTTGGAAGTCCATCTTTCTCTTTGATACCAGACATAACAAGAAAGTGGTGGATCTGTGGAACCTGTCTACCACAACGTAGCCCTGCACTACAATATATAGTGCTTTATGCTCTATTTTATCCCAAATTGAACTATAATCTACAGAAATAACAGCACGCTGTCTTCATAAACTCTTCAAACTAGCAATTGAAACCATAAACTTATTAGGAAAATGTACATCAAAGCTTCAAATCAAGGAAGAAGTAGATTCGTTTTCTCATCGACTTCTATTCAATCCGACTTCTTCGTGCAACCAAAGTCGATGCCCCCTGCTGGTCATTAGACAGAATGCAGGCTACTTCTTATTCTATGCATATCACTGACACAAACTAAAAATCCATCCTCCAAACTAAAACAGGACCAAATCATTAAAACATCTTCACTCTCCTCAACACGACGAGTTGAAAACTCCATAGAAACAACTTTAAACAGATCAAGCATTGGCCATCATAGCACCACATAAAAAACACAGTATCAAAGTTGATTTTACAGCCCTGTAACATTTAGTCACATTTATTCCGTAGCATTTATTTAGTATCCGTTACATTCACTGAGTCAAGATGAGCTGCTGACTTCAGTTTTAAGTGTCACAGCAATCCCTGGCCTCGTGCCACTTTAAACAGAAATGACTCCAGAGAATTCCTGGCAGCGTGCGGCACAGATTTTAAATTTAAGAAAAAGAAAGCGTCGGTGCTGGATCGGCGCTTGAGGAGTTGAGTCGCTGTATTCAGTTTCTCGAGAGAAAAAGTTGCACAAAAGATGATTCAGTTTCTAAACAAGTCTAGCCAAGTGTACACCATGAAGTGACAGCACCTGAAATGTTAGCTTGGATGTAAGTGTGGCCAACATGAGGGTTTGTTGCTGTGATCTTCTCACTGCTCGTGTCTTTTTAATCATTTGACTTTTTTCACGACGTCTCCACATGTATCAGCCATAACTTGGCGAGTAAAACGTTACTACTGACAGCCTAACAGGGATTTTCCTTTCACATAATCATCTATTAAATTAAAAGCACAAATATGTTCTCAGTCAAGACTGAATTGCATAAACGTTGAACTGACAAATTCAATCGTTAAAGCGCTTCAGAGCAATATCGACTGAAATGTGTGCATTACAGTTGTTCATTTCAATGCGTGCAAACATTATACCATCTGAAAACACAAACGGGAATCTGTCTCAGCCCTTTGAGAGTAAAAAGGAGATGGAAGGGTCAGTCTAAAAAATGAAGTGGAGAAGGAAGAGATAGGGAGCAAGAGGCGGTCATGCAGCGAGAATATGGAATGAGGAGGCAAGCAGTGGATGGAGAGATCGGCCTGCGTGATAAACTCCTATTCATAGAGGGAGAGAGAGGAAGAAGGAAGGAGAGACTTTATCTGTCCTTCGACTGCCTCTTCCTCACTGTTTGCTATCAGACCTGTTAAGTGCTGAATGCATTAGAAATGTGACCAGGGATGGAGGGATAGTGGACGGAGGGAGTGAAGGAGGGACGGGGCAAAGAGGGCACAAAAGAGAACGAAAGTGGGTCTAAATGTTATCACCGACTGTGGCGATAAGAACGCTAATTATCAGTGACAGAGGCCGGGCAGCTGACGACTCCTCTGTCTCCACTGACTCCAGCTGAAGGGTCACTATTGTAAAACTGAGATTTCAGGGATTTGATTTTCATCCTGAGCGAGATGGCATCTTGAACATCTCTATCTATATCCTTGGTGCTGCAGTTTTAAAGTGGAATTTCAGATTTGAAGGAGGAAGGACGGAGAAGGGGAAAGAGATGTTGTCGTTTTTCAACTGTTTGAGCCACGTTATCCCGCGTCTTTGATGGAGAGGGCGAGAGGATGAGAGGAGCCCGTTAGAGGGCACGTTTGGATCTCCTGACCTCTGGAGGTCAAAGTCACGTCCTTTGACATTTGTTCTTGGCGCGGCTTCCTGCTCGGCTCTGATAAAGCTGTGTAAACATCCTAATCGCGCAGCAGCATCAGCTCATATCAATCCTACTTCATTTCTTCCCCCTTATTTTGTCGGCTGTGTAATTCTGCATATTATTCCTTTAAAGCCTTATCACAAAACTGTTTCTTTTGCACCTAATGACTTTAAAAGCAAGTCTTAGACAGATAAGCACAGACGAACAGGAGTGTGCTGTGATTGCTGCGGGGTGATAAACACAAGCGGATTACCATACCGTCTCAGGTTTGCTTCCAAACAATTTACAAGATCATAACAGCATCCGGACTGTGAACATACCTTTGCTGAATCTTGACGAGGGTTACAGGTAGCTCTCTTAAACGCACGCACACCCGTATCCCCGCGATGAATAAAACATTATGCAATTTACGTGATGTATAGTTTAAAAATCTGCCTGCATCTGACTTTTAGATCTAATATTAATACTCACGAGAGTGAGCGAGACGACACAAAACTCAGTTTTCCCCATTTCCGGGAAAACAATGCAATTGTAAAAAAAAAAAAATCTAATAGAAAAGCTCTATGAATGCAAATTGAGTCCTTTTTTGGGGGCAATGGATGTTACATATTGCAAAGCGAGAGAGGGGGGGAATCAAGTTAATATCAACCTGAGTGGCATTGCTATTACCATACCATGTTTGACTGTGGGAGACAGAGGGCGAAAAAACATTTGCACTTGGCAGTGAAAGGAAAGAGCACGAAGAGGACAATGGCATCTAACTAGCAGCTGCTAGTCCCTTGGTCTTATTACATTAAAACACACACAGAGACAGTCAGGGGGGAACGCCTGTGTCAGCAGGTATTATGGAAATAGGCCGTAAGGTTTAAACCGGCTATTTAAAGTGAGCTTTATTCAGGCGCCACAAGTCCGCTGGAAATTCTATTCTCCTGTCTAAAAGCAAGGAGCCGGCGCATGTAAATGGATGCCAGTGTGTATATTTTATTAATTCGTTTAGACATTTAAAAAGGGAATGACTGCTCTGCTGTAGCTACCACACACATCTATGAACCCAACGCTGCAGCTACAAGAGCTACTTTGTAACACACACACAGATGAAATCTACACTAACCAGAGGAGGAAGCGCCACAACTTACATATCATGCGTCCACGAAGGTGCACGCGCATATTTCTCATTCTTTTCAAAGAGGAGGGGGAAAAAAATGTTATTTTGGAGGGTTTATAATGATTCAAGTTTAATATTTATGTTTTTTTCCTATTTTGCAAACATTCAGTTGCATACAGTGTAATGCTCATTTGTTTAAGCATGCAATACACACGCATTTGCAATCAAAATTATTCAACCCTGCTGAGTCTAGAAGGGTTCACACATTAAAGGTTTTCTGACAATCAGATGTGACAAATTACAACTCTATGAGGTTGTAATCAAATTGTTATTGAAAACGTGGAACCGAACCTCTCTAAGTTGTGGGATTTTTGAAATATAGCCATGTCGTAATTATTCATTCCCTATCTAATATTGCTCTTTTTTAATCACTCAGCGTGAGGGTGTTTAATAATTTTGATTTCATTTGCATATGTAAGACTCTCATGCAAAAGATAGAAATAACAAGTGTAACAAATCATGCTCCAACAAGATAAGAAAAACGCTGCGAGACAAATGGTTCTGTTCACCTGTTTAGCGTCGTTGACACACTGCAGGTACTGAGCTGCTATGTTGGAGCAGTGGAGGGTTTTCCCAACGTTGTCTTTGTAACAGGCGAGGATCTGGCCCTGCAGGTCTGCACACACAGGATACAACTCGTACCTCCTGTGGGGGTGAGAGGAGAGTGGAGGGGGGGGAGAAAAAATAGTGTGAAAACAGGAGAAAATATGGTGGTAAAGAGAAGGCGAGGGCAGGGCAGGAGAAAAGATGAGAGGTAAAGGGAAGGAATGAAAGTGTAAAAAATCATAAGTGTGTGTGTGTGTGTGTGTGTGTGTGTGAAAAGAATGGAAGCATGGCAATTTAACAAAAAAAAAGGAATGCATAGAAAAGGAAAGTGCAAGGGGGTTGGCAGTATAGGTATAAAGGTATAGAAGTTGAGGAAATGAGAACAAAGCCATAGTGTCAGTGTTGCACGGTGTAACAGTACTAGAAAGATACTGCAAAACCCTAACATTAAACCTAAACTATACCCCTTATTGTTAGTGTTAATACTTTCATAGTGATGCCACTTTTATAGAAGCTGTTTCTCCTACGAGTTTCGTCAATTTGTGAATGTGGGGCAGTGGGTGTGCAGCGCTTTGCTTCCACTTTGTACAGGCACAGTGAGTGCACTCTGTGGCTTTCATGCTGACCAAAGGAGCGGCATGGCTGCAGAAATACTTGCCATCAGTCCATGGACTGTCAAAGCAGATGCACAAAGCGAAGTAGCATTATTCCGACAGCATAACCGACAGTCGGGGCGAGCGCATGGACACCACGAACCTTGTCTGTTAAAGCTGTTTCCTATGCAAACTAGGGGGGTCAACATGTCCAGTTTGGTGAAGCAGCTCACCGACAAACAGGTTAGCAGATGTAGTAGACAGTGTAATAAAAGTGTACTCATACACTCAAATGGAAGTGAAATAAGTCTCACCAATGGAGTTTGACAAGGTTATGACAACTATTTAAATTGGCTTCCATATTTTGAGCGAACTTACCAAGGCGGCAAACATTGCAATGTGCAAACGTACTGCAAGCTGCTAAAAAGTGTTCACAAGTATGCAGATTGGCAACATCAGTTATAACAATCTACTGAATCCCAGAAAGAACGTCCTGCTCGCATTTATCTCTTTAAAGGTTCAACCTTTTAAAAGACACTGTGCGATAATAAATGTGGAGAGATGTAAATGGGTAAAAAGCTGATCCTAATGGAGAGTTTCTCCATTTGTGGATATGAAAATGAATGAACACATAATGGCACAATAGTTCCGTCCTGTTGTTTAATGGCTCATTTTCCACTGCATTGATACATTAATTTTTTTCTTTTTCATCTCCTGTTATGCATTGTACTATTACTTTTCCTGATGTTTTCGTTTTTTTTTTGCGGTGGTACGGTTCCAGTATCGATATCTTAAGCCAGGTATCCAGTCACTTTCACCTCAAGAGAGCTCATGCTGTTGAGTCAATTGAGCCGTACTGCAGTCTTCATTGTGTGTGCATCCCCTGCCTTTTTCGATTATTACTGTCATTCCACACCAAAATACCTGAAGCAACAATCAGTGCTACTGTATCCGCTGGGAGGAAGGTCAAAGGTCAATCCAGCCTTCGAAGCCTGCTGTGTTGACCACGCCAATGTGTGCACTACAATATATCAACAACGAGGCCAGAGGGTGTTCTAAAAATGGACAATCCCACAACTATGGCGTCATTCCCTGAAACAAGGGATCCATCAGTGCCATGGGACTGCTGTGCGGAGGAGTGGCTACTCCACCAGTCGATACGTAATACAAAGCAAATTAAGAGAGGAGTCTGTTTAATGTAGACAAGTCCTACCTGTTACAATGTGATGATGACGATAATGATGATGAGGTTAAAATTACCAGCAAGCTAAATATACCCTGCCGCTAAATTAGTTTCTCTTCTTATGTCTTAACGCCCTTTAAAGAGCTCTTGCAGAAGAGAGTATTGATCACTCTACTGGGTATTAAGTAATCCATCCATTGATTCAGAATGCCTCCCTGAGAGCGTCAACCATTTACAAACCGTGTAGCCATCACCTTGGACTGCTTTAAGTGGAAATTTCCACCTTTCAGCTTCTATGAGGAGGTTGTTGTAGAATGTGAACGCTAATACGACTGCTTATAGGCAACACTTCACTAACTTAACATGTGCAAATATGTCCTTGAGGTCTGCTACAGTTTTAGTGCTTCTATCTGAGCTGCTACAGCACTTCTAATGATAGATACTACGTTTAACTTCAGTGCATTTAAATGGGACTTCCTTTTTTTTTTGTCAGATACATGCAAGAGTTGGATCCGTCAGCCAATCTAAGTAGTGGGACGTCCCACCAGCGTTAGTGCCTTGCCCAGTGTTAACTGCTTTTGTCTGTCTCTTCACACACCCCATAAAAATCCATAATGACGATACATGCACATGCTTGGCCTATTATGCTAATGGTGGTGTCATCGTTTTGCTCACATCAGTGCCCAGGACACTCCATCTGCCCCACTAAACACGCCTTGCATGGGTGTGAAAGGCAAAGAGATTTTGCCCGTCAGCAACTCTTGAGATCTCAAAGGAATATTGGGGGGTGAAGTCGAACCCCTGTAGTCAGAATCAGATGTTTGATTTGCCCCCTGGAGAGAGAAATTACCCCTCCGTTGGATGCAAAGCAGGGGATTGGTCGCATGGGTCATTACCCAGGGTGCAATGCAGCAGGAAGCTGTTGCAGCGGAGATGTGTACTTACGGGCGGCACCACATGGTCATATTTGTTAAGATGGCCGCAAAAAATCCATAGTCCTTGTCTGTGCAGGTCAGTGACAATTTGTGGCAGCATGAGAGGTGGTCTTCAGATATTCAACAACCTCTATGAGGGCATGAACACATCAATACACTTATTAACTCTCCAGTAATGTGCTCAGTTGCTACGCTAAACTGGAAATTCTTTAGAGAATTGGAAATATAGTATGAGCTACAGAGTTCGAGGAGCATCAGCAGGGGTTTAGGTAAACCATTTTGAACATCTATTTGGTGCCGTTTTGAAAACACGGAAAGGGAACTGGTGCATCTTGACAAATTGCTTAGTCCATTCCTCGTCAGTATGCTAAACTAAGATACTTGCTGCTTATTGCCCTTTTTATATTTAATGTAGGTGTAATTTTTTTTTGGTAACTAACCTTTAGCATATTGTAATCTAAGTGGTCTGAACTCAAACCAGACTTCTGCAGTTTATATAATCCAGGTTGATATAATCCAGACTTCAGTCAATCACAGGGCTTTTCACTCAGATCAGGTGAAAGTACAAAGCCCAACCACAGAGGAAGTAGGAAAGAGGATAGAAAGCTGCAGAAAGAGGGCTGTTTTTATAAATTCTTTTTGTTCAACTTCTTCCACACTTCGACCTTCTGCAGCTTCAGCTGTCTGCAATAAAGTGAATAAGTGAGGGAGTATTTCTTTACATTTTGCCTTTTTCCAAGTTAGGTCTATACCCTGAATAATACCTGACATTTACCACTTTCAATGCAGACTGGAACATTATACTGTTGGGTGTGGAGAAGGTTCTGCATTTGTGGATCCATCAGGGAGAAATTCAGTCATTTGCTAGGAGGCATGACAAGGCCATTGCTCTGCGTCAGGGTATTGAACGATGACAGCAGTGCTAGCAGAAATCGCTGCCATCCTATTCCTATGGATCCTGGCGCTCATTTATTACACCGCCTATGGGCATCTACAGGGACGAGAGCAGCCACATACACCCACTAATTACTTTCTTAAGCGTTTGCTTTAATGCCAGGTGCATCCTGCTGATACAAACCGCAGTGTTTATCACCAGTAATGGCCTCTGAGAGAGAGAGAAAGACGGAGAAAAAGAAAGGAAGACAGAGGAAGGGAGGGCGGATAGAAGTGAAGAGTATTTCTTGATGAGAAACTAAACAGTGGTACTTCTATTTTTGCTTGCTCTCTCGGAGGGGAAGGGCCTGAGACAGTGGTTGAGTTAATCATAGAGACAATAACACTGTCACACACACTCTGTGGCGGCACGCTGCATCCTCTATCATCTATCATTAAGATTAACATTAAGTTCCTGCTGCCAGCCACACAGAGGCGGCGAGGAAAGACTACAGGCTCCCCTCCTTCCCCCTCAGTTTTACATTAAATGCCCTCGTGTCATTTACTATGGTGTGACTGCTGTAGCGCTATGCAGAAGGGTGAGCAGATGTTAAAACAATAGACATGTCATACCACGAATATGCTATAAACTATACCCACTAGAAGATTACCTTTTTCTTTTTTTTTTTACCTTTCTCATCGGAGACCTATCCATATCATCTCGCTCTGCAACGAAAGGTCATGAACTACATCCGAGCAATTACTACAGAACTCATTAAAACATATCAGTACTATCTGAAAAGCTTTTTGTTTTTGAAGTCACTTGCTGGCCTCAGGTAATCCCCGAGCTTTTTTCAGTCTTGTTATGGAAATACACTGAAGTCACCGTAAACGGTTGTAGGCAAGCTAGGGGGGGGGATTTTGCTGCTTGTGTTTAATTACAATTTGCACCAACAATGCCTTGCCACATAACTATATCAAATACGCCGGAAAACAAGGCAAACATTAGGTTCTTCGTTTTGTAGTCGCTGCAAAGATAGTTCAAAGTATCCGGAGTTAAATGCTGCAAAGTGGATACAGGGTGCATTCTTCCACTGTGGGAATCATAGGCTATCATTATAAATATACTCAAAAACAACTATGAATCATTCAGTTCCCATGTAACCTGAGTAGCAAGGCTTTCATAAACAAAGGCGCTGTATCAAAATCCCAAAGCAAAAAGCTCTTCTTAATAGAGTTAAAGTGATGTAAGGGGAATGAAAAAAAAAAAAAAAGGGATGGAGGCCAAAAGTGCTGTTTTTCATTTCTGGGTTGCTCTGACTGTATAATTGGAGTTTAACAGGCTGTGATGGGTTAGTGTACTGGTCAGTGGTTTCCTAGACTCTTCCAATCTGGATGTCTTTGTATGATTCATTATCAACAAAGTAGGCTGTGTAGTAGCATTAGAAGGTGACTGTATAGGCTATGTAATGGTGCATTCAAATATCCATACTTCCATACCATATCGTTCGTCAG